AGCTCTGCCCTGTCATTAGTGACATTGCTGAACAGGGACATTATCCTAGCTAATTAATATCTAAAGTATCCACTATCCATTAATTAATCACAGTAACGTGAGAGAAGAATCAGCGTTGTGTATGCATACAGTGTAATCCAGAGGTTCTTGAAGGTGGACTGGAAGCACTTTGCCAGAAGACTCAGCAATGGGGCAGAGGGGCCTTTGACACTTAATTCACGTGGAGGATTTGTATTTGCTCTGTTTAATTATTTTTTCATCTGTTTAAGTTTCAAATGGTGTACTAGAGCTGCTGTTTCAGATTCAGAAAGCCAGCCATGTCCTGGCAGCACCTGGAGCACCGTGGGCAGCAGGTCAGGAGGGGATTCTGACCTGAGAATCTGCATCCAGGTCTGGGGTCCCCAGCACAGGAAAACCAATGGACCTGTTGGATCAATTTCAGAGCAGGAATACCAAGTTGATTGGATAGATGGAGCCCTGCTCCTACGAGGAAAGGCTGAGAACTGGGTTTGTTCAGCCTGGAAAAGACAAGGCTTTGGGGTGAGCTCATTGTGCCCTTGCAGTACCTGAAGGGAGCCTAGGAGGAAGACAGAGAGGGACTTTCCTCAAGAGCATGCAGTGACAGGACAAGGGTGAATGGATTCCAACCGACAGACAGCAGGTTTAGATTAAATGTTAGGAAGAAATTCTTTACTCTGAGGGTGGCGAAGCACTGGAACAACCTGCCCAGGGAAGTTGTGGATGCCCCATCCCTGGAAGTGTTCAAGGTCAGGCTGAATGGGGCTTTGAGCAGCCTGGCCTAGTGGGAGGTGTCCGTGCCCATGGCAGAAGGGTTGGAATGAGCAGTATGGAAGAAGATACCTTGAATTATACTTTGGGAACATTTTATTTTCTCAGCACAAAAAGAAATAAAATAACTTCAGTAAAAAATATTGTAGTCCAGGTATTGAGATATAATTATGCATATAGTTACATGCTTTATTCAGAAAGTATTTTACCTTGCTCTATTTACTTTTTCAAAGGCAGAAATTCAAATTCTTACCCACTTTCCTCTATTTATTTTGTAACAATTGTATTCAATTTCTCATATATGTGTTTGTGTACTGTGTCTGGTTAAAGACAAGAGCAAAGGACAATTAAATCAGATAATTTAAATTAAAATCTGAAAACCAGCAAAATAGAAGGCTGAAGGCTGATCATTATCCCCATAAAACACTGTGCATTCCATACCAAACACAAGAAATTTATCTATTAAGCCCATGCAGCAAGCAGCTAAAGATAATCTTACAGAAAAATGAGCCCAAGAGCTGGTGATGCAGTCTCAAAAGGAGGTCATATCAAACAACAGCTATTTGTTGTTAAACCAAGCAAAACAACAAAATCTCTTGAAATAATCGCCTCTCAGGAATGAGGCCATGAAACACACAGCTCCTGAGCAATCTCCCAACTCGTCAGAAGAAGGTAAAAGCTGTACAGTTCTAACTGCAGGGATGAAATACACTGTCTCACATAACCATACTGCTGTGAGGCAATGCTAATCCCTGAGTTAGAGCTTACACATTCCCTATGTTTTGGATAACACATAGGGATCATTGGTGTACTGATCAAATACAGACTACATTTATCTACTTAACTATAGTTCCTTTCACTATCCAGTAAATTATTTTATCTTAGAAGAAAATACTTTCAGACATCAGGTACAGCTCTGTGGTAGCTCCAGGTGGTGATTCAGAGCTACACTGCTCCACAGCACCATGTAAGACATTATTTGTTACAAAGCACTTCACTGACAACATTTGTTCTGAATATTGGGAGTTTCCTGGCCACAACAGAGTTAGCACAATCATTCCTCAGCCCTCTTGGGCACTGTAAAAAGAGTTTCTGCTATTCCATGCTCCTGAGAGCTGCCATGTGTGTGAAGTAACACTAGAATACAATAATTTATCCCCTGCACCATTATTGCATAAGTGGGACTAAACAACTGACATTGCTGAACACTGTTGAAAAGATCTCTTATTGTTTCAAAGAAGACTGCATAAGGAAATAATATTGGTGAACCTGTGCCATGTAGTGCTTCCACTTCTGAAAAATTAAAAATTGATACCAATTGGGTTCAAATTTTAAAGGAATGCACATTAGAATGCTCAGGAGTTGCCCTGTTTTTTTGTAATATTGTCCATGTACAACCAGGTACAATTTATCCACAGGGCTGTAATAGGAAAAGGTAGTGGAAAAGTCCTAATTTTGAAATAAAGTAGGCTTGGGTTAAATAGAACTAAGAAGTCAATCTTTAAGACTAAGCTATATGCTTAAAAGAGAAGATACTATCCAGTTCTGTTTTCCAAATACAGGGTCATAAAAAGAAAAGGAACTTGGGTCTGTTTCATGTGTTTTGCCAATGAATGTAGTGACAGTGCTAAAGGGGAAAAAGGACAGAGAACACCCTAATAAATACTCCTGGTCAAAAGCATAGAAATGTGTGCTTTATGCACATGATTAAATGAAACAAAATCCATGCAAAGTTGAGGTGTCCTTCTTGTAGTATCTCTATTTCTGTAACATCTGCCACTCTTATTATCACATTATTTCCACCTACCATAATCTCTGTTTACTACTTTCTTATCTCTTAATCTGTACTTTCACTTACAAATACCCTAACCACGTGTTGTTTATCTCAGAAATCATTCTTTATCCTTGATTTCCAAATCAGAAAAGTATCCCTAAGCTTATTAATTTTCATCTCCACTAACTCTGTTCTTTCCTGAGCAGCAGTTGATATTGCACCCTCTACCACAGGGGAGGCCAGGAACCCTAAAACAAGACTAGGTTTCCATATGTGAGATGAGATGTTTTGTAAAAGCTTTTATCCCACACAGTACCAGGGTGGAAGTCTGCCCAAGAGAACACAGAATAGACTAAGCACCTGAACAACTCAGGAGAGCAGAGAAGCAACAAACACCTTTCAGGTGCCCTGGCATTCTCCATAGCAGTAGGACAATGAAGATGGCCAAATAAAATGTCAGAGGTCTTATAAAGTCTTGAGAACTGATGAACTTTGGGGTTTCTTTAAGAAAGAATTCTGTACCATCCTTTGCTAGGGCTGAGAGCATGCCTACCAATCAGAAGATGTGAAAAATATTTAAGTTATAGTTTGAGTGTTATCTACTTCATTGTTTATACCATTACTTATGGTTTATTCATCGTCAGCATCCAAGGACCCCTGCAAAGAAGAAAAACCAAGACATCCAATAAAAATAGAACGTTTGATACACTTTTCCATTGAGTATTACAGGAAAAAAATCTTTTTAATTTACTAAGTATAGTAATAGCTGAGTCTGACTTAAAGTCTTCGCATTCTAATGCTAAAACACCTTCTGTGCTGTAAAATGCTGTTCTTTTTGAGCTCATTCTGGGGGCAGAAGTTCTTGAGATTCTATAGAAACAAAAAAATCCTAAGGACTCACGGGAATGATGAATCTTAATTTAACAGATTTGCCTTGTAGGCTTTTGCGCCTTATATTTTGACTGAAGTTTTTCCTGAGATTCACAAAGTTTTATCAGTTGTGCACAGTTCTATCTACAAATTTCAGTGAAATCAGTGTTTCACCCTATCAGTGCTGACCAGATGGGGTTGTGGGTCCCAGTCACACCGCAGCTCAGCTGGATTATCGCGAGGTCCCTTCAACCCCATTTGTTCTGTGATACTATTATCGGGTAACGGGATCTTTCTTTTGCAATCCAAGTGCAACATGTGCGTGCTGGGGAAAGACTTTGTAAACATTGCATAGTTTCCTTAGGGCTTTTATAATAAACAGCAAAACAAATCATAAAACAACCTCTGACAGGTCGCAGATGTGCGGACAGCCCCATGCCAGGGCTCTGAGATAGGGCAGAGAATCACAGAGTGGGGTCAGGTTGGAGGGGACCGCAGCGGGGCATCTGTGCCAACCTCCCTGCTCCAGCAGGGTCATCCCAGAGCACATTGCCAGGGACTGCATCCAATTTACTGGAGTATTTCCAGTGGGAAAGGCTCCACAGCCTCCCTGGGCAACCTGTACCAGTGCTCGGCCACCGCACGGTGAAGCTCTCTCATGTTCAGGTAGAACTATGTGTGCACCAATTTCCCTGCTACCTCTCGTCCTACTGCTTGGTACCACCGGGAACAGCCCTGCTCCAATCTTCTGGCACCCCCTCCCCTATCTAAATTCTTATATACACGGATGAAGGAAGGTGCATCAGAAAAGAGAGCGGGATGAGAAGTTCTGAGCCGCGAGGTGGGGCGGTTCGTTTGGCTTTGGGTTCGTGATGTAAAGTACGGCTGACCGATCAGCCCACGTAAGAGCCAGCCCTGCTACTGCCCCTCCTGAGGGCCGACTGCCAGCACCCAGCGCCGGCGGAGCTGCACCCCGAGGTGCTTCCCTGGATCCCGGCAGCGGAAACAGCAGGACAGGGGGACAGGGCGGGACAGGGGGACGAGGAGCTCGGCTCCCGCATCCCCCCGGGGTACCCCATTGGCACAGCCCAGCCCGGTGCTCCCCCGCCCCGCCGAGCAATGGAACCTCCCGCGCGCGAGCAGTTTAAATTCGAGCCCCTCCCCGGCAAGTGCCCGGGGCTCGCGCGCGGGGGCATCACGGGCCGTGCCGCTTCCAGCCCCGTTCGCGTTCCGCTCCCGCTGTGCCTCCACTTCCAGCCCCGCTCGCGTTCCGCTCCCGCTGTGCCCCCGCTTCCAGCCCCGTTCCGCTCCCGCTGTGCCCCCGCTTCCAGCCCCGTTCCGCTCCCGCTGCGCTCCCCCCATCCCGCCCCCCGCCCCAAAACGCCTGGCCGCCGCCGTGCGCACGCGCGGCCGCGCCCGCCGCTCTTCCCGCCGTGCACGCGCTCCCCTCCTCTCTCTCTCCCCTCCCGGCGTGGGCGGTGCGCGCGCGGTCGCGCGCCTCCGTCGGGGCGGGGGCGGTGCCGCGCGCGCAGCAGCCTCAGGGCCGGCGGCGGGAGCGGCGGCCCCGGTGCGAGGCCTCGGTCCGCCCGTCCGCAGCCCCGCTGTCCCCGCTCCGCGCTCCCCCGGCCGAGCCTCCCCACGCCCTTCCCGGTCGCTGCCTCCCCTCTTGGCCGTGAGCCGAGCCCGGCGCGCGGTACCCGCGACGCCGCTGCGCCCCAGGTGAGGGAGCGGGGGAAGGAAGGAGAGAGCGAGCGGGGAGCACTCGCTCCCCCTCCCTCCTCAGCGCCTCCCCGCCGCCGAACCCCGCCGCTCCCTGCTTCACTTCTCGCGGCGGAGCCAAACAGCCCCTTCCCAAGATGGGCTGCACGCTGAGCGCCGAGGATAAGGCTGCGGTGGAGAGGAGCAAGATGATCGACAGGAACCTGCGGGAGGACGGCGAGAAGGCGGCCAGGGAAGTGAAGCTGCTCCTCTTAGGTAAGGGATGCCGTGAGGGGAGGCTCCTCTTGAGGCAGCCGCTCCCCGAAGCTCCCTCGCCCACCGAGGGGTAGAGTTTTATAGGAACCCTCCGGGCTGGGCGGGGGGCGGTGCTGCCCTCGGAGACCGGGGTACGTGCTCGGGGCCCCTCAGAAGTTCTGGGGTCGCGGGAGGCACTGCAGCCTCTTGGAGCAGGTGGGCGCCTCGGCCGCCTGAAGGATTAGAGGCAGCGCCCCGGGGAAGCGGCGCGGCGTGGGCTGTCCGGGCCCTGACTTCCATAGCAAAGGGATAACGCCTGAAACTTTTGACCTGGATTTTCTGTTCCTCTGTTGAAAGGAAGGAAACGTTACGTTGGGGGAATATTTACTCTTAATGTTTCTTGTAGACCTGAGCAACATCTAAACTGTTGCTGCAAGAGTAAAGTATAGAAAAGTGTCAGAAGAAAAAAAAAGGCAAAGCACCATTTAACTTCTGAGGTTTTTTTTTTTGTTTGTTTTGTTTTTTTTTTTTAATTTTGTGGAACTTGCTTGTGTTTCTGGGATCTTACAACGGGAAGTACCGCCTTGATGGAGCTACTACATGTGTAATATAATGACTTATAGCGTGCCATCGTGTATTCTTCACTTTTGCTCACAAGTACTTGAAGCTTGCCTTTTTGTGTGTTTTACGGTATGCTTTGTGTGTAAAGATAAGGGTATTTTTAAAATTGCCAGAAAAAAGGAAGTGAAAATTTAATTAGAGTACATTTGTTCAAGACTAAAACTACTGTAGGCTGGGGACAGTTGAATGCTGCAAGATTTGCATTGAATTAATGTTGTGGGAAGTTTCGCAGTATATTCTGTGTAGCTAAACCAGACTGGGTCTAATAGCGACTTAAAATAGCTGTTGAGTTGCAGCTTCCCTCTCAGAGGTGACGTTTCAGGCAAACTTTTTAAATGATGCACAATATCTCACTCCCCTCGACATTGATTTTGCTCTCCTGTAGTGCTCTATTCACTACAAACGTAGTAGACTGCTTAAATAACTTTCTGTTGCTAAATTCTAAGATGGCTCCAGGAAGGGACAAAAGACTGAGCAAATTTTATTGTAGATGAAGAAATGAAACAAATCTAGAATGGGAAAAACAAAGATCCTAAAATGATTTTCTAGGTTTAAAATTTAACTTGTGAAATAAGCCAGAAACAAAAGCTGAAATTGTTCTCCAGGAAATGGAAGCCTCTCGGGTCGGCTGAGAGGTGGAAACCTAGATCTGTTAGGTTTTGGGCTGGTACTGTGCCTAGTCCTGAACACCTTTGGAATCCTCAGCTTGTTGTATGGAAAGGTTTTCCTGTATGTGATAATAGCAATACTGCAGATGTTACTGCCTTTTTAAAAAGTGGCAAGATAACACTTTGTGTCATCTGGCATTTCAAATTAATTTTCAGTTTTTTGGTGCTCTGTATGGAACTTGTAGTGCCTGTAGTTTGGTACTTGTTTTCCTATTTTTCATCTTAATTCTTGGGTACAGATGACGTCTGTTTAAAGATGCTTTAAACTTAAGAATGGATTTTGTCACTATTTTAATGCTCTTATGTACTAAGTCCTATGTTATTAGCTTAAATTTGATAAATTCTCTGTTTCTAAGGCTGGGAAGGCTTTCTGCTGGGCTCTCACGAGATCTGAGGACATGAACAAATGGTCAAATACATGTGGGTTCTCAGGGTGTTCTGAGCAGCCGCTCTCTTGGGTGTTAGCATTTCCCTCTTCCCTGCTACAAAGAGGTGTCAAGGCTGACAGCCTGGCTTCTCCTGGGACCAGTGCTGGCATGATTGTTTAAACAATGATTACCTAAATGTTTAGTGAACTCTGGATGAGGTTTTGTGCTTACACCCATGGATGCACGTATGTTTTTCACGTGTTTTGGAAATAAAGCTTTTTCCCTTCCTCTTCTTTGTAAGTCTGTCAGGTGTCTTGAATGATGATGTGGATGCTTTATCTGGTGGCAAAAGTATTTAAAGTTATTTCCACTCGAGTCACTTTCTTCTCACCACTCACTTTCCCAGTTGCTTGTTCAGCCCACATGTCAGAGTTTATCATCTACTCTGTTGTACTCCTGCATCTATTTGTGGGTTTGTTCTGCTAAAAAGATACTGAAGTGAAAGGAAAAGTAGAAATTGTGGTCTGCTGCCAGGAAAATGCAGTGTGCGAGTGGCATCTGAAACACCTTGTTTATGTGGAAAAAGGTCATGTAGCTGTACACCTATTATTATTATAATTGACCCATTAAATTGGATTTATTCCAGCATATATAAAAATTCTGGTTTTGCATGGTGATTAGAGAATCCTCCTGAAGTTTGAGCTAGAATGCTCAGTTGAGGGAAGATGTTTTCATAAAATCAATCGATTTCTAGATTGGAAATTTAATTTATACCATCATATGCTTTTCTAATTTTTTTTCCTAAAACAGGAAATTGCAGGGATTTAATTGAGAGAGATGTGACATTGCTGTACCTGAACCATCACTGTGAACAATGTCACTGATGCATGTTAGATATATATTTTGTTTTCCTGTCTCTAGGAATAAGCAGATATATTTAATGTGCACAAAATACTATTGAACTGGATTGTCTAAGTTCTTTTGTCCTGTCTGTAAATTGATTCATCACTTCATAAAATTTTCAATGCTGGTATTAGGAATAAAAATGCTGGATTCTAAGCATTATCCATGTATAGCTATTTTAACTTTAATTCTATGCACTTCCATGTGCTATCCCAACAGCAGGAGAACCTTTCCTGGAAAATTCTGAGAACCATCGTTCTTAGAAGCTGAACTTGATCTTGTAGTTGGTAAGCCAGATGGAAAATGCTTGTTTATACATGGGATTTGATGATTTTATCTTTAAAAACCATTACATAAACAAGCTTATTTACTTTAATGTTATTTTCAATCAGCGTGTAACTTAAGTTTCATGAGAACTGAACAAAAAATATAAGTGCAATATATTATATGACCAACACTAAAAGTTCAACATACAAAAGTATATTCTTTTTGTTAAGCAGCTTATTTGTGACAAGTTGACAGTTCCTAAACTTCTGTGTCGTAATTGAAGTAATATTTTCTCTTTTTCTATTTTCTATTTTTTTGAACAGATAAACTCCTATACTTAGTGTAAGATTTCTGAAAAGCAGTTTATATTTTGGCTAGCTTCCAGACAAAGTAGTAGATCCAAGTTGGTTTTTTCTTCCGTGGTTCCTCATCTTAACTTTTAATTTTTAACAAATAAAAATTCTAGTGATGCTTGCAGAATGAATGTAATTCTTTTGTTGGGAGGTGGTGATTCTGAGTGGCCAGTCTGTGGGCTGCATTAGTAGGCATGTGATCCTGGTCAGGTGTGCATCCCCAAGCACATTTCTGTTGAATTAGCAAGAGCACATAGGACTGAATTTATGCCAACTGCAGGAGAACAGGCGGTACCTCATTTAGTAGAATGCCTTCTGGTATGAGGTTAAACTCATCAGGTTTTATGAATACATTCAAATTGGCACCATGACTTTATAGGATTAGCACTTTGTCTTTTGAATTATCACATCCTTCACCAAGCTTAGCAAATTGGTGTTAAGGTTCTTTGTATCTTGGATGAAAAAGGCAATAAATGTGTCCTAAACATTCTTTAGGAGCAGGTCCTGGGATTCAGGAAGTCACAGGCCATGTGTTTGACAGCTGTCATTGTGTGTCTCCTTTCTGGATAATCACAGTTGTAGATGTGAGTTCAGTGGATACCTTTGTGCTCGTGATTAGCAGAGCCACTTTTCTGTTCCTGAATAGATCCTTGTGATTCATACTGGAATGTGTGCATGTCGTTCTTAAAGATAAGTGACATTTAGCAGGCAGTGCTGCATTTAATCATTTCCATTGCAGCTTCCTGTTCCTTAAGATGGTAGCTAGAACAATTCTATTTCATTGTTTTTCTAGTTCTTCACATCTCAGGCATCTTTTTCTGTCTGCTTTTCTTTTGTTCCAGACCTGCATCTTTCTGTCTGCTCAGCCAAACTGTGTATCCTGCTGCATACTCATCTTTTCAGCAGCATCATCCTCACAGTGCTTGGCAGTACCTGGCTTCTTCCAGACCCTGTTGCAATTGGACTGAAAAAATACATTTATGCTGCTTGTATCATTATTACTTCTCTTGCCTTTCCTCCAAAATATTCTTTTTCTCCACACTTGCAGACAAAAAAGACTTTAGGAGTCTGAACTTAAGAGACCTCTCAGAAAAGCTTTTTTTCTCACAAGTATGGCAGATTTCAGAGATGTTGACCTTATCTTCATAAATTATGCCAGCCTAGTCTAAAACATTTGTACAAAACTATTTCCTGTCATGCCTTCAGAGACAACCATCTACAGATGCTTACCAAGTTCACCTCTTATCTAAAAGCTGATTTCTGATACCTAAAAGAAGTGTTTAATGTTTGGGTTTGGTTTTTGCTTGTTGGTCTTGTCTGTGTTAGTGTAAACACCCCTGCCCCCCATTCCTGCCTGTTTCCTTAGATTTAGCAGGAGTTCTGAACGAGGAGCTCTCTTGCATTTTATTGTGGTGCAGTTGGACTCTGCCAATCAGGATGTTACTGATGTGGAGTGACTTGATTGTCATAGTGTAATAATCCCCCTTGCTTTTGTGAGAGGGATGTGCAGTAAGCAAACCCATTTAGTTGTGGTTGTGTTGGTACTACTGCAGTGTGAGTTCTTTTATGCTTGTCTCCATCTGTTTGAATGTTGGTGTAAAACTTCAACAACATCATAATATTGGTCTTTAATGTGTGTATAGACTTCAGTATAAATTATCTTTAGTGGTTTCAGGTCTTCTGTTGCATTACTATATTTCCTCTTTTTGGAAGTTACTTTATAAAGTCACTATTTATGATTATATCATGATGTTAGTTCTTTAGCATTCTTAAGACAAAATTTACCTTAGTGCCTATTGTTTTAGGAAGGGTTAAAGAGAAACTGTGCATTATGTGCTTTG